ATGTATACTAGTAAGAGCCTTTTCGTAAAATCAACAATAAAATGTAGAATTCGTTCACCCTTACTGAACGTAAATCACACCAACAAATCATCGTACTTCATACTTATATGGATGCATGAATGGATGTATGTTTGATTGAAGTTATCTCCTCAAAGGCTCAACGAATCTCGGTGAAATTTGGCATAAGTGTAGAAAATAGTCTGGAAGAACACATTGGCTACTTATGAGGTTTTTTTTTAATTCCATTGGTAGCTAGTCTCGTATAAATTATGACATATTTTTTCAACGGCAAAAGAATTTGTCGTAGGTTATTCGTATAGAAATCCATTTTCAGGCTCCTTGACATACGAAATAGCTATATTTTATTTCCTTACAGTTACATGAAATACTTAATGGAATAATATGTAAATTGTTAGGTTTCATTTGATTGTAGATTTTTTTATATTTGTTTTATCTATTCATGATTCTATCACAAACTTAAGTTCTAGGGTTGCCATATTTTCTATATTTAAATAATACGTGTGGAAAAACATAAATTTTAATAATTCCCACAAAAAATAAAATAAATTTAAAGTTAATCTCTTCAGTTGGAATTGATTTCAAAATTTCCTCTAACGTCTCGTTATGCGGAAGGTAAATCAAAGGAACTGTACAAACCGTGACGGCAACGATAGAGTACCATCCAACGACACAAATATTTCCCTATTATCTACTTCCCTGTACCGAAATTGTCTAATTTATTATTCGATCACTCGCGACTCTGTCACTCGCGACTCTGTCACTCGCGACTCTGTCACTCGCGACCGCGCGGAATTAAAAAGAAACTTAATTAATTAATAGTTTTTGTCTTCTTCTAAACTATGTTCTATATCTATTACAGATTTCTGCCACATCTATTAAGCTGTTCTTTAGTAAAACATTTATCCATCCATCCCTAGAGTCACCGGAAATTAACAGCATATTCAACGTGGTGGTTTTGAGGCCGCTTAAAACTTTACATATATTTAGAAAGATAAAAATATTCGGAAAAACTAAATAGGAAATTCTTGGATAGGAAAAGCACTTGACTAATCGCTTCAATAAGGAAAAATCCCACAGAATATTATAAAGAGGAAAGACTTACAATTCTGCTTTCAATATAATCACTAAAATGATGTATAGATACTAAGATAGAGTATGAACAAGTTTTGTCACGCACACATATAATGTGTTGCTTGTAAACAAATAGCATACACACGACAATCAATTACTTGATTAAACCACACCCCGTAGTCGTCTACTTACTCGCAAAACAACTTAACAAAAAAATTGTCTTCATAATGATTTTTAATTATGGTTAGCTGTTATACTGAGTGGTATGTTTTTAGTACGACTTTAATTAGTAGCTTATGTGTTT